CGAGCTCCCCCGGCGACGCCGCCGCGAGCCGCGCCAGCCGCGCCCGCTTGCCGCCGGCGCCCGGCGGCGCCAGCCCGCAGCCGGCGCCGCACGTCGCGCAGCGCAGCGCGCCGCCCTTGACCGCAGCTGGAGAGACCGCATCGCCGCCACCGCCGCCACCGCCGCCACCGCCGCCGCCGCCGCCGCTGGCTGCCTGCGAGGCTGCCTGCAGCTCCCACCCGAGCAAGGCCAACAAGTCAGCCGCGCCGCCGGCCTGCAGCACCCAGGCCCCGCCCCCGCCGCCGCCCCTGCCGCCGGGCGCGGCCTCCGGCGGCCGCGCCAGCCGCGCGAGCCGCTCCTCTGACACCCCGAGCAGAGCCGCCAGCGCCGCAACCCCCGCGCCGCCGCTGCCCCCGCCGCCGCCGTCGCCGCTGCCTGCTGCGGCCGCCAGCCGCCGCAGCGCGGCCGCGCTCAGGTCTGGCAGCCGCTCCGCCCGCCGCAGCCCCGCCGCGCGGCGGGCGAAATCCCCGCGCAGCCGCACCGCGGGCGCCGGCGGGAACGACAGCAGCCCCCGCGGCGACGGCCGCGCGCGCCAGGGGCAGAGCTCGGAGTGGTTCTCCAGCAGGAGCGCCGCGAACTTGGCGGCCGCGGCCCCGCGCGCGGCAGCGGTGGCGGGCGGGAGCTTTGCTGCGATCTTGGCGCCACAAAACTCGCAAGACAAGCGGTCCGGGGCGACGTTGCGCCACCCCAGCAGCGCGCACGCCGCGGGCGCGAGGGCGGGCGGCTTGGCGAACCACGTGGCGGGGCGGTAGGTGCGGAGGCGCTCCAGTAGGGCGCCGCGGTCGTCGGGGGCGTAGCGGCCGCGGACCGGGGCCGGCGGGGACGCGGCCGCAGTTGGTGATGCGGTTGCAGCTGCTGTGCTGTCGCCGCTGCCTGGACTGGGGCCTGGTGTGCTGTCCCATATCAAGCTATCTAATGCTCCTTGTACTGCAGCAACCTTGTCCATGGCGACAAAGTCGCAGGACGTCCTAGATCAAATCCCTGTAGTTCACAACGGAAGCATGTTTGCTCCAGCGCGTTTCGCAGGTGTCATTGCACGTTGTACAAATACACAATGATGTGCATGTGTGCTGCGGATCTGATACGTAGTCACTCAAGTACAAGAACAGCGTAGCAGTATCATACTCCCACTACGGTAATTCAACGTTCGCACAGACGTCATTCAATCATGTACTTGTGACACAACCGCCGGGTACGGTCCTTCAACCCCGACGGCGACGATCTGTCGGACCTTTCGCGCGCCAAGCGAGGCAGCAGCTCAGCCTGGCCATGAGCCGCAGCGAACATCAGTCCTTAGACTTGACAACGCGCGGCTACACCGTCGCCAGCGTCGTGGAAGGCCCCGCTGCGGCAGCTGCTGTCGCCGCAGCGGCGCGCACCAACCCTGGGCACTTGCGCGCGGCCGTGGCAACCATGGCCGACGGCGCGCGGCGCGGCGACGCTGTGCACGTGCCTGCAAGCGACGCGTCGACCTCGGCAGCCGCCTCTTATGACGGCTTGACCTTTGTGTCGGTGAGGACCTGCCCTGGCAACCGCAGTGTCCCGGGAAGCATTTTGAGCGCCCATCGCGCGCACCGCCCACCAGGACGATCCCGCAGCGGGACCAAAACCTGTGGGTTTCCTGTGTTCGCCTGGCGGTTCGAGCAGCCGCTGATGTCGACGCCTGCAGCAGCCGACCAGGCGTTCGCTAGGCCCGCCAAACCTGCGGCACCCCTCTGCGCCCATACCCCCGCCGTCACCCCCCCCCCCACTACGCCACCTCGCGGCGACCGGCGGCGCCGTCGCCCGCAGCACATGCTGGCCGGATCCGTCGCAGGCGTCGTGGAGCACACCGCCATGTACCCAGTTGATACGATCAAGACGCGCATGCAGGCCCTCAGCCACCCCGGGCAGCGGGTGCGCAGCCAGGGGGCCACAGTTTCATAGTTTCGCCGCAGCAGCTCGCCCTCAGGCTGCCCCGGCGATGGCAGTCCGCGCATGCAGCCGCGCGCACGCTCTGCTAAGCAGGTCCTGCAGCGGCAGCTTCTTTGGCGCACGTGTGCGTGCATGCATGCTCGTTTCCGAATCGATGCATGCTGTCAATCGCAGACCCCACTCGCTCGCTTTTGCACCGATCAGGCGGCCCACCAAGCCGCGCTGCAGCCGTCGCGGGACCCTTGCGAACCTGCCAACCCCTGCGGCGCATATCGCCCCCGCTTTTTGCCCGCAGCTACACACATCGACCATCCAGGCGCTCAGGGCGGTGCTGCGGCGGGAGGGCGCGCGGGGGCTGTACCGCGGCGTTGGCGCGGTCGCGGGGGGCGCAGGGTGAGCTGCGGGGTGCGGTGGTGGGGTTGCGAGCGCCGCCCTCGCACGGCCGGCCGCGCCGCGGCTTTGGCAGTACAGCACAGTGCGAGCGCATCGCGTAATCATCGCAGCTGCGCACGGCCCGATATGACGAAAACGAGGATGCGGCGATAGCGTAACGGGCATGTGCTGCACCACGGTCGTCAAGCCGTGGCCTTGAACAGAGGCTGTCCCCATGCCTTAGTCCCCTGAGCTCGCTCGCGCCCTTCCGCCTTCCCACCCTCTCCCCAGCCCCGCGCACGCGCTGTATTTCGCGACCTACGAGGCGGCCAAGTCGGCCCTCGGCGGCAACGCCGGCGGCCACCAGCCGCTGGCGGCCGCGGCGGCGGGGGCGACGGCCACACTGGTGAACGACGCGGCGATGACGCCGTTTGACGTCATCAAGCAGCGGCTGCAGGTGGGGCCACGTCGGCATGTGTGGAGGGGGGATGCGGGGTGTCAGCGAAGGCAGCACCACGCCCGCAGCCGATTTGTAGATTTAAAGCACCGCGAGACACCGCAGGAGCGGCGGCCCAGCTGACGCGCGTTGAAGTTCAGCAGCTGCGGCCGCAGCCTGGTGAACCATGTGCGCCACGCCTCCCCTGGAAACCACCCCAAAACCCTGCTGCGTCGCGCCACGTGACGTGTGACGTGTTCCTTCATGGTTGCGCCCCAGGTGGCCCACAGCCCCTACAAGGGCACCCTGGACTGCGTGAAGCAGGTGCTGCGGCAGGAGGGCGTAGGGGCGCTGTTCAGGTCCTACAGGTGCGGGGCTGGCTGGAGTGTCAAAGGGTGTATTGAGCAATCGGGCAGGTGGCCATTCGGGGGTTGGGGTCGAGGAGTGGCAGGGGTGCGTGTGTGGAGGGATGGGTTTGTGGGCGACGAGGCATGGCAAGTGTGTGCG